TTACTTAGAAGTTTATTAATATTTATGTTATATTAATTTTTATTTTGTCATATATGATCTTCAAATATCACGTCCTCAAGTATCGATAGTAATTCACCAGTCACCCTGTAGTTTGCGTTACTAAACAAAACAAATGTTTTAGTACTTCTTCATTAAAATTTGATTGATTTTTATAGCCAAATTAAATTCGAACAGCGGCAAAATATGGGGATTTTTAAAGAGGCACCATTAATTAAATAAGAATTAGTTATTATTATTTTTATAAAAATTATTCTACTTTATTGAAACATTGATATTCGTATAACTTTTAGTTTGAAGAATTGTTTCAAAGAGAATATTCGGTTTTTACTACATAATGTAAGTCAATATTACAAGAAAAAAAAGTATAAAAGCTATTTTATGGTAGTTGCCAATTGCTTATAGCTTTTTCATTTGATGTGTTCGTGTAAGTATTGTAATTAATTGTAATCGGTGCTAACAGGGCCGTGCCTGACGGGCGTTCGTTGCGTGCACTGCACGCAGGCGGCCGAAATTAAGAGGCGGCCAAATCGTTACAAGTTGTTTTCTGGGCAAAAATACAATCGGTTTGTTTTCATTAAGATACGAAGTAAAAACAGTTTCTCTAATCTAATCTATCTAAAAAGAGTTTCTCAGAAATAAGAAATGTATAAAAACTGATTAGGTCGTTGTAGTATTTATATACCTAGTCATGCAGCGAATCCGAATTTTTTCGAACATTGCACGAGCGACGAGCCGAAATAGTTTTTTCAATTGACCGGCGTCGCGTAAGCGGTCTTATTCGTCTTATTAGTCCTATTAGTCTATAGACTAGCGAGGATAAATCGTTATTTGTGTCCTGTGTGTGATCCGATATTATTAAAGTCTCTAATTTAACGAATAAAAATAAATTAACCAAAAACTGATTTTTTTCCCGGTTTGATGCCCTGTGTATAATATAAACATTAAAAATTAAAGTAGTTTTTTTTAATGTTATCTTGGGGGCGGCCATACAGACTGGCACGCAGGCGGCCATATACCCAGGCACGGCCCTGGGTGCTAAAGATCTTGAAGTTTTATATAACGACAAGACGATATTTTGGGGACAATCTATATTTTGTTATTTAAATTTTGTTTCCTGGCTATTCCCCTTTTTTAGAAAGATCTTTGATTATTGTATCTTTGGATTAAGAAAGCTTTATGCATAGAAAATCTTTTATAAATAGTAACTGCGAGCTTTCATTTGTTGTGACTTTTATTTCCCTACATTATATGTAGAATTTGATATACCTAAATAATAACATTGTTTAAAACTGTCCTTATAACGAAAAGTATAAACTCGGATCTTTGTATGAAATTGTATCAATGTGAGAGTGATATACAAAATCTTAATATATATTGACATATTCCAAAATCTTATTCATTCTCACTTAGAGAGACTTATTAGAAGACAGAGAACGGTTGAGTGAGTACTTCTATAAAGTTTAAAAAGAAAAGAGAAGTAGATGTAATTCATATTTTATTTCCTAAATAAAAGGTTATTTTTGATGGGTTTCTTGTTTAGTTGGAAGTTCCAAGATTATAATTAAGCCTTTAAGACCCTGCTGATTCTTCCAATATTATGAATTTGGTGCTAATTACGGATTAAGGGACATTTATCGAGGATGAAGACATAGCAGTCATAGTTTATCGGTTACAATAGGTATGCAGATGATTATAATCCCTTGATAAATCTACAGTTATACATTTAATTTTACGCTCGAAATAATCAGGAGTAATAAAATCTGCTAGTTTTAGAAGTGATAGATGATAAATTCGCAGAAACGTTTTAAATTTAAATTTATATTCTTGTAGATTAAACCTAATTTTGTAACTATAGAAAAAGGTACGCTGTTTAGATCAGAAATCGGCTCTCCTTTAAATTTCGTTGAAATAGCAAGAAATCATTCTAGCGCTATAGGTATATAAACATCATTACAATTCTACAAATAATTACAGAAAAAAAAATGCCGTTATTTAGGCTAACGATAGAAGAAAAAGAAACTGTTATGATAAAACTTTTACCACTATAACGAATAAAAGATATATATTTTTTTAAATATTACGTTTTTTATGAGCTAATATAAGTGTTTCTGAAAAGCAGCTTAACGAAAATAAAATTCAACAAGTAGTCACTATTATTGTTAGATAACAATAACTGCGTTATGCACTACATATCGTTTGAACTTGAGCGTAAAATCTAACTCTGGATTTAGATACGTCAGTTGATATATCTAAAATACTTCAGCAAAACTTCTGAAAGTTTCAGGTTTGATGGCAAAAGATTGTCAATGTGTTTTTACAAAACTTGTTGCAACTTATGTCATCAAAGTGGAATCGAAATAGATTCTTACAAATATTAAAGATCGTTACGTACTAATTGCAAAATATTTGAAATGACCACCACTTTTTTTGTTTGTATCGGTCCCATGAAAACTAAATCACTGCTCAACCGAGGAAACCAAAGATACATCCCAAAAAAATAGACTCTTCAAACTTTTTTGCTCGTCAGTGTCATACATATAACTTGGGGATTGGATATACCTATATAAAAAAACATATGAATTCTCATGAATTTTCTTGAAAATTACTCTGGATATTCTACACATTTACCGACATATGCACATTTGTATATATACCAAATTTACCAGTATTAAGTAAAATATAATTAAAGTGTGGACCATGTGTCATTTACATTTTAACCACCTTTATGTAATTTGTGGATATTGTGCCAATTTAAATGTCCGTTTTTAAGGAAACCAATCAGACACCGAATTTTCGGTTTCGTGGTAGGAATCAGTCTTGTTCAGTTAAATCCATGAAAAGAAATGGTAACGGAAAGTCAGAACATTTAAATAAATATTCAGGGTCCCAAGTCCAAGGCGTTGTTGAAGCTCCTCTCCCTGCAATGCAATGGACCCGGCACCTGCACGGTGAATCCATTGAAAGCTAAAAGGTTTGGTATCGTCGTCTGTCATTTTAGGATTTTACTTCTTGATTTTTTCCGACGTAATAACTGCGTTACGAGAATCACAGTTCTTAAAAACATGTTGGTAAGTAGGCAAGTAAGTCTTAGATATCATTAATCGAGATATAACTTTGATGTCTATGGTACATTCTGATATATTTCTTTCAATATGTACATGGAACAAATTGATAATTTATTTTATGTAGCAATTAGAATTAATATTCCACCAGGATTCAGGGCATAATCACTTTCTATCTGAACCCCTGTATCAAACCATGATTTACCCGTTCACCATTCTAAAATACATAATTTGTTTAATGCCATGTAGAAGAAAACTCATTTTATTTAGTATATTTGACGCATAGTTTGAAGTGTCTTAAGTTAAATGTTCCTTATTGATCTTCATGATAAGTTTTCAAGTGAGAAATTGTTTGTAATACAACATTTAACACACTTGGTTTAATTTGAGTTTAAAATACTTTAAACAAATTTATCCTACTAAAACACTTAGTTCTTAATATAAGTAAATAGTTCTGAAATAATAAAAGTCTCTTTTGTCTTTAGATAATTTATTTTTGTCAATTATAATCATATAAATCAACGGAAGTGCATGAACATAAAAGAGGTATTTTGTTTCAATAAATTCCTAAACAAATGTCTTTTCTGGTTATAGATAAAGAAAAATTAAAAATAGAAAAATGATAATAACAATGTGAATAAACTTATAATGCGAATTATTATTGTAATAACATAATTTTATGTTTCTGTCATATTGTGGCGAAATATTGTTTAAAGTAATCAACATTTCATTTACAAGTATATTTTACTACTTAAAATCTATTTAAACATATGCTTAGTCTTGTCATTTTTTAGTCAAATTCCAAATAATGCCGACTCAGAAATACTTATTTAAATACTGAACACAATCAAATATATTGTACATTAATAGTAAGTAGTCTTTAATGTTTAAAAGATACCCGGAATAATAAACTTTAAGTACAATGTACATAAATACTGTTTTAGCACTGCCATATTTAATCCATCGATTAAGTTAAGTACTGTCTCAATACATTCTGGTTTATTAAAGAAATATATTTTGTGCTATACAAGTAATACAAAAACTCTCAATACAATGTTTTTCACCCTCAATAATAATTTTTAAAATGCCATCATAATTTTAAGTACAAATCATTAGTTGAGCTTTTAATATTATCACTCAATATGTAACCGGATAGTAGAACACAATAATAAATAAAAAAGATATAATAAAATGCAATAAAAAGCTAAAACACGATACAATGGGAATATAGTTTAAGTATACAAGTAAGCAAATATATATGCAGATGATTTCACATCGCTAACTGCTAAGTACTTATCATAAGCGACCCTTAGATCTTGTATACACATATTTTTAATAACTACAAAAACAGAATATAAAATGTACCTAATTGTCTAAAACGGGCAAGTGAGAACAAATTGACTCAAGAACAACTCCATGTTGTATGAAACCATATGAATATAAAAGAATATGCATCTTTCAATTAAGTGTTTAAAAACTATTTAATTCGATTTTTTTAAATTTATAATTATCCTTATATTATATTTCTGATCCAAGTTTAAAAAGGCGTACATAAAGTAGGAAGGTCTAAAACCTAAAACATAGACTCAAAAATTAAAAAACCATAAATTCAATAGGTACTGAAGTCGTTGTACTGTTTTGTGTAATATCCAGTATATCTTTAATATACAGCCAAACTAATACATTGATTAAATTTGACTATTGCAACTAAATAATGAACATATGTATTTATAAACTTAGTATAATAATAATATCTCCAATCGATATTGCGTTCCTTTTTCAAAAACAGCAAAATATAAAAAAAAATTAACTTCCTAATGCTAATCCTATGCCTTTCCGACGCCAATTTTCAAAAACGGAATGTCATGGAGCGGAGTGTCTTTGTACCGTCTTGTAGTTCCCACTGTCCCGTACTAGTCACGCGTACGTCTCTCTGAATCTTTTCTGTATGTGGTGGGCCGCGTTCAGCAGCCGGTGGTGTAGCGTGAGGTGCGTGTGCGGGGTGAAGGCGGGGGGAGCGGGCACGGGCGCGGGGCGGAGGGCGAGGGGGGGAATGATCGCTTCATTGTCCGGGTGACAGAAGAAGGCGACGCAGTGACGGCCGCGGGCGCGAGCGTATGTACCGGACGGTACGACGACGCGGTGCATCTGTTAATTAAAAGAATTAAAATGAAATGGTTTTATTCATTTATACATTATACGTTTGTAATAATTTCAATGTAGACTTTAAAGTAATTTTGTTATCATCAAAACAATACATTTAGAATATTTACAATCATAGATTTTATTGTTCCATATAAAAGTCTTTGAAACTACAAAGCTGTTTACGACTGCATTCTCTTAGTAAACATTAGCAATGAACTGTACTGAATATTATTATTCGCCTGTTTTTAGTGCAAAAAACAAGAGTGTTATAATAAAGTAATGGAATTTGGAACGCGGAAATAATTAAGATCTGACCTTGTTAAAGCAATTATCATTTAGTGTAAATTTCGCATGCAACAATTTTAAACACTGAATAGATATTAAATTGCCTCATGAAAAATTAACTGCTATGAAATGTTAGTAGAGACATGTAATGTCTTTATTTATCTTTGATGTACTAACCAGGGCCGGTAGCAGGTTAGTAGTCCAAGAAGCAAGAAGTTCTCCAGTTTGTACGAGAATCGCTCCTGGCAGATGACCAACAGATTGCCACTTATCACTGCCATTCAACTTCACCTATAACAAAAAAAAAATAATAAATTCATACCGTATAAACGCAATTTCAAATTTCGAATATCGAACATAGTATCGAATTCAGTAAAATTTTTTAAAATCTGTATTTACAAATGACGTTCCATTTTCAAATATCCTACCTCAAGCCCCCCTTCAGAGTCCTGAGCGACGAGCGTGAAGGTGCACCTGTCGGAGTGTGCTCCGCATCTCGTGTACGTGACGTGTTCGTAGCACGGACCTTCATCCTCGGGGGGTACGGGCGGGTAGTACAGGATACGCATTGTGGAGGCATTGCAGCCATCGCTCTGAAGCATGTGAGAGTGGCAGGAGAGTAGAGTGGAGGGGGGAAGACCTGAAATAAAACATAGTATGACTAAATTATAATAATATGCTAAATGGGCACTGGGCAGTCGGGCAGACGCCCTACCCGATGGAGGTAGTCGCGTCAATTATACTGTTCTATTGACTATTCAGTGACAGAACATTCTCGATATTTTAATTGAATTTCGTCTTATCATACTTTTTTAACGACAATTCCGTTCCAATTAAGCGGATATTAACACATTGACTTATTATCCGTAATGATTATTGTCGTTTTATGTAATTTATTAAATATTATGCAAGTATGTTTGTGTATATTAAGAAAAATATAAATTGTTCTTACCAAAAGCGTAACCGAGAGCCTGTAAGAGCACTCGGGATAGGTTTGTGAGATCGTGAGCGAGGGGCACGGCGTGTTGCGTAAACTCTGGCACCTCTTCTTGAGCGGGCATCGCCGCCGCCGACAGAGTCGTTATATTAAACGAGTGACGTAACTCCTACAAAAATATAGGTATGCATGTTACAAATAGAAGACTATTGGCTAATGCTGGCCCATTATTTAATAACTTTCGCCGATCTACGACAAGATTAAATCGCACGCAAACGTGGGACGTTGCGAAAATATGTATATATATGAAATAATGTTCAAAATACCCGCCAGTTCTATTATTAACAAGCTAATCATACACAAACAAATGTGTGTGTATAACCTAAAATAATATATTTTATCTGTTCCACTAACCTACATGTCAGTCATTGAATTAAGAGTTATATTGTAAGTTATATACAAGGCTTTAAAATATCTTTGTTGGCCATTTAAGATATGAGTATATTGTACCTGCGACCTAAATTTTGTCGATATTTAATATAATTTTTGTTATTATTATTTAATATAAACTTACCTTCTTGGTCTCGTCGAACTGTTCCATACCAGGTTTAACATAGCCGTGGTTGCTGATCGGGTTGCGAAGATACTGCGCCTGGCAACCCTCGGGTAGAGCACAAAAGTTATCTAGATCTGCGTACACCGCTTTTAACTGAAAATGACAAACAGACACTTTATAACATCTCTTTGTAGTTTGATGAACTCACTGTGAGTAACATTTCTAAGAGTTTCTGTCAAGTGGTAATGAAAGGAAGAATTAAATTCTAGTTTTAAATACAATCATATTTCGTAGAAAAAGACATACTTTATTTATGATAGATGTCAATAAATCTTTTTGTTGCTAGTAAAGAAAATATACACATTTTTAACTCTAAAAATGCTCGTCGAATAAAAGGTATAATCATTTTGCATTAATTTTATAACCTATTAAGGTAACAGTGTGATTTTGACCTGACAACAACTAACTTTATTCCACAGATTATAACATAAAATATCTGTTATTAGGCGCTATTATATATACTATATTATTTTGGTACTTAATAACATAGCATACCTTATCTTCAGCGACGCCGTGGTTGACAAGCATGGCAAGACCTTTACTGCTGAGAGCAGTGAACAGCTGTTGTCCAATACGTCGAACCACTGATTTCATGGGACACACATCAGTACCTGAAATACAATAGATATTACACATTAAATACCACATTTAAAGATTTTTCCATACATTTTAATACCATATTTGTATATGTATGTATTGGTTTTCAAATCGTGTAAAACGATGCGCCGCGAAGTCTCGACCCTGACACTATTCGGACGACGATATAAATTGTGACAAGGCAATAACGAAATAAATTACGAAAAAAAGAATAGTTTGAATTTAAAGTCCTTTGATAATAAGCAAAATACATTCGAAGTTTTTAATCGGGTTTATAATGAAATAAAGCGTAATAAAAATCTCAATAAACATAGATAAGAAAGGTTCTTTTTTTCATTGTGGAATATGAAATGCGTTTTATATTTCTGCTAACGCGAGCACTGATATGTATTTCTCGGTAATCTTATCCATATTTTGATTAATTTCAATATAGCGCTATAGATTTATCGATATTATTAATTAATAATTTATGAAGTTCTATTTATAATGGTACTTGCTTGTGGTGTTAGTAGAAACCATTAAGTGGTGACATGGTGCTCAAAGATAAAATCTTTCATAGATCTGACAGTTGTGTAATCTGTAGTGTTATCATCATAAAATATAACTTAGACATAGACTATAAATTACTTTTTATTTAAAACCATACATTGTCAACAGACGACATCTTTCTTTATGGTTGTATGATAGTGTAATATATATATGTACTAATTAAAAATAAATGCTCGTACGTTTTGCACAGCAATTAATGATAATTATATAATAACTATTATAAAATAGTTTCTTGGTACTGTATAATAAATTAAAACTAAATTTCATGTGTAAATGGCGCTCTATTTCATTGGTGATTCGTTTTAAACCAGAATACTTATAAATATGACGAATATTACGTACAAATAACTGTTAATAGATACACAGTAAGACGTACAGTTATTTCTGGTTGGTGTAATCTCCATCTGTCATTGGGAATATTTAACTTCATCCTGTTAAACGTCACCCACACCAACATATAGATGTATTATTATTAGATTGGGACTCAGTCTATTGCCCAACATTTATGTAACGTAAAATTTCAGTATTAAAATTGTTTTATATTATAAGTTTATTCGTGATTTTACTATGAAATAAATATTGCTATTGAAGTTCATTGACCCACAAACAAGGATTTATTTCGAACACACATGTTAGCTAGTTTAAACATTATCCAAATCTATCGGAATTGATGTTTTATTGAGATCAAAACAATTGTTTGACCCATTTTCAACATGATTCACTTCTACAAGTGTGTTCTCTAAACATAAATCAAAGCAATCAATGATGAGGTCATGATAGAAACGTACTCAACGATTTCAGATTTATTAAACTAAGTTAAAAGATAAATCGGAGATTGCTTCAATATTAAAATCCTTAACAAGATCGCATAAAATTTATCATATAATATTAATTCCAGAATGTTCTTTAACTCTATAAAATGATTGAAACTATAGAAAAAAATCTTTTGTTTTGGCAAAACCAGAAATAGTCATCATTTTTTATAGTCACCTAAAACAATTGGTCTTTAAGTAGCGGATGTCTTGCAATATAGCTAATTATTCTTCTTTCCGAGGTCGTATTAGACTAAACAAAACTTAATTAAAAAGCCAGAAATTCCGAGCACAGAATATTCAGAACATTATATATTATATTTGATGAACTTTTCTTTGATTTTCACTGACAAGAAACTGTTTGTTTTCTAAGTTTTTCTAGAATATGAAATTCTTGGAAGTGGAAAACAGGTTTTCAATAGCATAACTTCCTTGTGAAGCAAATACATAGCTCTAGGTTTTTATCACATACGTTTTTGCGACGAACGGAGATACTCTTTTCCTCTTGCGATAAAGAAACAAAACATTAAATCCTGTGACTTTGAAATTTGTATGTATAAATTTACCTTTGAATGAAAAGATAAATCTCTTTATTTAGTTTTTTATCTACATTTAAATGTTTTCGTAAGAAGTTTTCAGTCGCAGCTAATAGATTATAGAATAAGCTAGGAAATGTGTTACAAAATTGTAAGTACGACCTTGTAAATAATACAGGTAAATATTTCACGTCATTTGTATTCTAAAACATCATCTGCTTGATTATTCATAAGTTACATGATATCTATATATATATACTTATAGTTATCAAAGCATGAATAAGAGTTTTTCCTTGAAAATTTATTGTTGACATGTTAATCATACGGCTATATAGTTAGCAGGTGAAATGAATTAGATGTTTTATTTTCAGTGACATTACTCACAAATTTAAATTAATATTATAATTAATTAAGTATTTTATGAATGAATTTCTATAGAACCACATTAAAACTGTTAATACTTCTTACTGCTAGTACTTCCTATTAATTTAACGTTAATGCATTTCTGTTATATCTTTATAATTATGGCTGAAATGCTTAATCTACTTTACAAATCGAAAGTATTAAGATGAACACACTACCATTCTCTTAATTAAGAAAAACTGTTTCATAATTGTCAGTTTAGTAATTTGGTTTTGAGTTTTCAGTACAAAAATATTTTCTTCAGTACAAAAATATCTTTACCAACAAAAAGTAAATGGCGTGTTTATAAGTTTTAAATATAGAATTTTATTTACAAAATTTGTTACCAGTCTTATTTGACTTATTAACACCTAACTAAAAATATAACATTCACAAAAGTAATTTAAAAAACTACATGCTTATACATAATGGCAACACTTTCAGAGACTAAATAGATATAGGTATGTATTAATTATGTAACTTGAGAATTATATAATATGAATAAAATTTGTTATTAAGCTTGTTGTAGCTGCATTTTATTCAGTTCATCAGAAATTGCTTTGTAATGAAAAAAAAATCATTGACATAAACTATTCACCTACCTGGAATTATGAAAGCACGTGATTACGTAATGAACTTTATTACACAATCTAGTCGGCTCTGATAGGTGTTAGAAGACGAGATTGGGCATAATATTATTTGTTTTTATTAATAAAGATTTTTTTGTATAAAAATTAATTAAAACCTTCGTTTATTAAACCTCATTATAATTTATTGGCTCTATAATATAACATTTATATATTTTTTTTATTGTTTCGTATCTATAAATAGGCGTTTTTAATCAACCTATTGTTTGATTCCAATTTTAAAATTACATCGATAAATTGAAAAATACGTTTTTTATCCGATTAATTATTGTTTTAAACATTTATTTATCAAAACAAACAACGCCTCTTTTAATAATTTTTATGATAAATATAGCTGAGGTTTTATTAAGATCAATGTCAAAAAGAGTTTAAATAAGGTGACATTTTAAAGTAAACCGAAGTTAGTTTTATCTAATTGATTACTTATTTTATATAAATAAGTGAAAAACCCAAATACATTTTCATTTGACATGAACAAACACAGACTATATAGTATGCGGAAGAACTGTCAGTGACGTTATTCGTACGTTAGATATCTGAACAAAGGAGTTCGGACGAAATCAGAAGGTCAAAATTCAGTATTGTTTTGTTTATTATTTTTCATACATATATATAATTGAAAAGAATCGTTAATAAACTAACATTTTTGTTGAATATTAGATACATTTGTAGCCTTATTTCATTTATTATTTTAAAGATATTAATTTTTATTTATTGAAACCAGGAAAAAGTCACGTTTTAAACGTCAAAAGGTTTTTATGGACGTCAATTACATAAAAAAAGTAATATTTTAGTTATCATAATAAATTTCCTACAACATATTTATTCAAAATAATATCAAAAATTAAATAAATTTTGTTTAAAATGATATCAAATAGATGTGTTCCTTATTTTAAAAATCAAAATGCAATATATTGTAAACAGTTCTGGGAAATCTGGCAAAGTATGTATGTGTGAGCTACATAAGGAAAGAGGAAAACACTGATTGCACATTGGCAATTTTATGTACGGTCACCATGACTTGTCCATAAATATTTTTCATTGCCGAGTCCATGATAAATTAAATAAAAAAGATACAATATATCCAAAAGTTATATACAGACTTTTATTTCAGCTCAGTTTCAGTATAGCGTTTTGTATCATTAAGCTGCATTTGGATACAAATGAAAAACTTATTCACCTATGTTAACAATACGTAGCAAAACATGCAATGTATAAAAATACGTGTTTTCCTTAAGTCATAAGGCTGTGTCTCAAGTTCGTTCAGGAATAATTTAATGTTCATACATACTAAAAAGGGTGGTGTGATGTTTGCAAATCATATAGACGGTTACAATTAATAAATGTGTATATTTTAGGACGGGGGAAAAATATACATTATTTTATATGACATTCAGGACTTTTTTAAACATGCTTATTATATACGACATATATTTCATAAATGCTAAAGATATATATTTCATTAAAAATAAGTAAAACGAAATTTGTTATGTCATTATAATAAAAACGTAAGCTTACTTTCTTCGTTTTTCGAAATTAAATAAAAACACATTGACATGTGACATTTAACACTTGTCATTTTTGTGTGTCTCTTGCTTAGATTGATGACTTAAGGAAAGTGTTTCTGCTACAATAAAAAATATTAATGTAAATAATAATATAGAATATATTTATATTTAAAAATGTTAATATTCTTTGAACATTTATTCTTCCTATACGTCCGTTTCAAATTAGTCATTCGTAGAAATGTATCCATATTATGTTTCTAATTGTTTTTCATATAGTATTTATTTGTGGTAGACGTATATTGATTTAATTTATTCTAAATGTACCTGAGTAAAATTGTGTTTGATTTCAATGTTCCAGTACGAGCAAGGAACTGATTATTTACAGTCAATTTAACGACATGCACGTGTGTCCACGTGTTTTCTTATCACTACATTATGACTTGCTCGTTATTCGAATAGCTTTTTAAGAAATGTATTTTCTCAACAATAGACGATTCGATTTTATTTGCTCTTATTTGCGTCACAACTGAAGTACGTCCTGTATTATTATTAATGATATT